TTCCAACCAAATACACCGTTCCAATTAAGAATGGAAATAGATCGGGCCAGAATTTATCCAAATAGGCCTGAGCCTATATGATCAGAGTATAAAGCCCGAGCCTCCATACATGCAAATTTTTTTTTGGTGACATAAGCGGGCTAAGCCCAAAAACTAAGTATTAACAACATATCTTGGTACTCCTATTCCAGCCAAATCTTCCTTAAGAATTTCCTGCACAACCCACGGAAGCGTTATCCAAATCATTGAATGCTCCTTTTGCCTCGTGTAGAGGGAGGTTATTTTGTCTGCACATCTGTTCCCCTCTCTAAACACATGTTTGATTCAAACTTGCCATTCTTGCAGGAGTATGTCCTAGATAAGTCGATATACTTCACTTCGTCCCTGAAGATTTTTTCTGATCACCTCAACCACTTGCAAAGCATCGCACTCCACTTTCACTTTCTTCTTTCCTAGTTGCCAGCATAGTTTAAGTCCCTCATATACTCCCTGTAGCTCTGCTTCCAACACTGTGCAGCTTTCCAATTTGATCGAGTACCCTTGTAACCACTCTCCACAGTCTCCCCTTATTACTCCCCCGCATCCTGCCTGCTCCCCATGTGAGTTCCACCCATCGGAATTCAGTGTATCATTCTTATCTCGCCTCCTCCTTCTACTCCTGTAGTGGCATCTTCTTTGTTCTTATAGTTCCTTAAGTAGTTTTTGATAGCTTCAGCTTCATTGTAAGGATGAAAAACTCCTCATCATGTATTTGGAGGTTTCTCCATTTCCAAATCAACCAGCACCCAATAGCAAATATTTCTGGGCAATTGTAGTCTTCCACTTTTTTCCCCTTGTTACTGATGTTTCTTTTCAACCAGGTTCTCCCATTCACTTGGAAGAATAGTTTGTCGTGCTTCTGCCATTCAAGCGCCGTCCACGCTTGTTTAGCTTGGAGGCAGTCTCTCAAGGTATGTAACCAATCCTCACGAGTACTATGACAAAGTTCACATGTATCAGAACTACCATTCCACTTACTTGTTATTGCTTTAGTTGGTAGTCTCTGATTAAATGTCAACCACATGAATGTTCTGATGCGTTTGGGAACCTGTAGTTTCCAAATTTGTTTCCAGGGACTCCATGTTAGTACCTGTACTTCCTTCCTTAGCCGTTTATACGCACTAACTGTAGTGAAATTTCCATCATCTGTTGACTTCCATACAGGTCTACTCTCTTGTTCCAGTTCCTTCCATTCTATGTTGGATTTGAACATTTCTCTCATTTTCGCCAATTCTTTCCATAGCCTGGAGTCTCCTTGCTTGGCTCTAAACTCCCTTCCTTCTACTGCTTGTCTACCATACTTTCATTGAAGCACACGGACCCATAGCTCATTTGGTTGTTCATGAATCCTCCAGAGTAATTTGAGTAGGAATGCTTCATTCATTGTTGAAAGGTTTTTCACTCCAAGTCCCCCTTCAGTTTTTGGTTTGCAAACTGATTTCCAGGCAATTGGGTGCCATTTTCTTTTTCCATCTTGCTCCCCCCATAAGAATTGTCTTTGTACTTTTTCTACATCCTCAATCACTCCTTACGGGATGCGCTCATGTTGCATGGGGTAGAGTGCCATTGATGAGGTCACTGAATTGATCAATGTCATTCTTCCTGCAAGTGAGAGACTAGCTGCTTTCCATCCTTGTAACTGTCTTTGCACCTTGGCCACAATTGTCTTATACTTATCTCTACGCCTCTTGGGGAAGGAGATTTCTGCTCCCAAGTATTTGCCCAAATCGTCCACTTGCTTGAATTTGCTCCTGTTACATATACTTTCCCTGATCTGCATACTCACATTCGGTGAGAAGTAAATGTGAGTTTTTTCTTTGCTGATTTTATGTCTAGAAATTTCTCCAAATACTCGCAAACACTGAACAATAATATCAATTTGGTCAGGGTTAGCTTCAGCAAACAAAACTAGATCATCTGCAAACATCATGTGGGAAATGGTTGGGCCTTTTCGGCCTGCTCTCACACCTTTCCATTTTTTCGCACTCACTCTATCAAGGATTATGTGTGTCAGTTTTTCCATGCTGAGCACAAAGAGATAGGGAGAAATAGGGTCTCCTTGTCTTAGTCATCTAGACGGCTTCAACTCCTCAAGTCTTTCTCCATTGCATAGAATTTGGGTAGAAGAAGTGTGAATGCACTCCATAATTCTTCGTAACATATGTTCAGGGCATCCCATTTCCTTCAGAACCCTTTCCATGAATCCCCAGCTTATTCTATCATAGGCTTTCTCCAGGTCTACTTTAATTGCCATAAATCCTTTCTTTCCTTCTCATTGAGTGTATCATCTCATTCACAATAACAATGTTATCATGGATATTTCTTCCAGGTACAAAGCTAACTTGGAAAGGTGAGACTACCTTGTTCATGATATTCTTCAGTCTTCTTACAATAATCTTGGAGACACACTTGTAAATGATGTTGCATAAGGAGATTGGTCTAAGTTGGTTAACCTTTTCAGGTTTGTTAACCTTTGGGATAAGTGAAATGAGGGTAGTATTCACCTTCTTTAGGCTGTCAACATTTTCCCACAAGTTCTTTACTATTTGGCACACACTGTTTCCTACTACCGCCCAGTTTTTCTGGAAAAACAAGGCTGGGTAGCCATCTTCACCCGGGGCTTTGAATCCTCCTATTGAGAACATCGCTTGTTTTATCTCAGTATCAGTAATAGTTTCTGAAATTTCCTCCCATTCCTCCCCCGACACATGTGGCCAAGATTGGTGAGTTTGTATCCAGGGCCTGCTGTAATTGTCCTCTTGAAACAACTTCTTAAAGAATCTATTCACTATTTGCCCCACCTCCTCTTTACCTTCAACCCAGTTATTGGACTCATCTTTCAGTATTGTGACTCTATTCTTTCTCCTCTTGATGTTTGTTTTTGTGTGATAAAATGAAGTATTTCTGTCCCCTTCATTGAGCCATTTTGTTCTAGCCTTTTGAAACCAGAGGACTTCTTCCCTTTCTAGTACTTCATTAAGTTCTTCTTTGAGTTATAGTTCTAGAGCCTCCAGGTGATCATGCGATTTTCTTTGCATCACTTTTTGAATTCCTTCTATTCTTCGTAGAAGTTCTCTTTTCTTCTTACCAATATGGCCAAACACATTTTCATTCCAATGCTTTAGCTTTGGTGTTAGTGAGGACAGTTGCTGCCATATTTCTCCTGACCCCACCCAACAAGATTTCAAGAACTGTTTAACTCAGAATGCTTTAGCCATGTTGCCTCGAATCTAAAGGGCCTTTTATCCTTGCTGCCTCATTCATCTCTCAGATAGATCAATAGGGGGTGATGGTCAAATTGTATCCGAGGTCCTATTTTGACAAAGGCTTCGTTGAATTCTCTTCTGCATTCCTTATTACATAAAGCTCTGTCTAGCCTTTTATACATACGATTGGCATGTCTTATAATTGGTCCTCTCCAGGTGTACCTTAGACCCTCAAACCCCATATCTATTAAATTGCAGCAGTTGATAAATTCACAAAATTTTTGACATTTTTTATCATTTATACCCACACCTCCTCTCTGTTCTTAATGGTTTTTTATGTCATTGAAATCCCCTGCTAACATCCAAGGTTTGCAGATTCCTTTAGCAAGACTTTCTATTTTCTCCCACATCATTCTTCTCTCTTGCTCCCTCGGACTCGCATAGATTCCAGTAAAAAACCAACTATCTCCTCCCAACCTGGACACTTCACAGTGCAAAACTGTCTATTCACTTCAAGCATTTTGATCTTTATTTCATCTTCTTGCCATAGGATCCAAATTCCCCCAGATATGCCATTTGCTTCTACTAGGAGTTGTTTTTTGAACCCCAAACGCTTAATTACTTTCTACGCCATATTCCCATTGCATCTTGTTTCCAGTAAGACAACAATATCCAGACGATATCTCCTTCTTATTTCCTTTAGAGCAAGACCGAAATCTTTTCTGGCTGCTCCTCTTGTATTCCAAACCATAATCATGGAAATAACAAGCCAAATTTAACAGGAACCACACCTGGTTATTCACTCCTTCCAACTCTGTTGGGTTGGCTCTCCTCCTCGACCGTTATTCGGTCTTTCTCCTCTGTGTTACTTGGCTATATCAATCCTTCAGTTTCTAAGATACCCATTGTCTCCTTTAATTCTGTTGGGTCTAGGGGCCTCCCTTCATCAAGGCCCATATTGTCGTTCCTTTTCTCGGGCAGACTTTCCAGGGAGTGAGCCATAATATTCTCCTTATGACTCTCTTCCCTTAAGTCCATTGGGTCTTATTGACTATATCCGTGTGGGTTCATTGGGCCCTGCTGGGTTATACTCCTTCTTGTCTCCTCTTTTCCTTCTCTAGGCCCATGATTATCCTCCCTTATCGAGCCTATGTGCTTTCCCTCCCCATTATTCAAACTTTTGCTTTTTTCTTTCATCTCCTGATCAGTTTCTTTTCTCCCCTTCTGATCAACTTTCTTTTCCAAGTTGACCTTCCCTTGCTTTTCATCTTTCCCTCCTTTTTTTCCATTCTTCGAGGTTTCCTCAGTCCCAAAGCTCTTCTTTTTTGTACAACTCTGATCCTGTTTCTTTTCCCTATTCCGTTCTACAATGTTTGCTATCTCCTGCAAAGGATACCTACTATTATGCCCCTTCTCCCTTTTTTCCATACTATCCTCCTCGGACTCCAAAATCGCAAATCTCGAGGACAGACGTACTTTGGTATGCATTTTGGCATCTTTTTTCTGACCGTCGATTTGTTTTCCATCTTTGGCAGTGTTTCTTCGTCCTCATCTTGAATCCTGCACCATCATCCAGTCTCCGTAAACCTTCACTAGGGAGTTTGCTGGATTTTTAGCAAGATTGATACCCCCATCGGTGTGTTGTTTTTGTCTGTTCATCTGTTCTCAGCTTGTTGTCTCCAGCTTCCTCTTCAACGGACAGTGGTCTATGTCATGCCCAAACTTATCGCAGGAAAAACATATGAGGTGGAGGCCCTAGTATTCAATCTTCAACTCATTTCCATCTACTGTATATGAGGGTAGCATAGGAGTGTTTAGATCAATTTCGACACACATACGGGCATACATTGTTCTTGCTCTCAGGAGAGTCATTTCATCCACTTTGATGGCTGTGCCTATCTTGTTACCCAGATTATAGAAAAATTTCTTATCATAGTAGTCTCCTGGCAGTCCTGGCAGACGAACCCACGCTGCTATCTTCTGTATCTTCTCATTCCACACATTGAAATTTCTCTTCCAAGTTTGCACAGTTAGGTAGTGATTAGCTATAAGCCAGGGTCCTCCTTCGAGTGCAAAAAAGTAGTCATCCCGAGATTGGAACGTGGCTATCATATAGCCATTCCCTATATCTGAGAGATCGATATTTCCAGACTTTCCCCACATGGCCTTCACCTTTCTCCTAAGCTGCATGAATCCCAGAGTTCCTCCTAGAAGTTTGATGATTAGGGAATCTTGCCACCTCATCTCCATTCTCCTTCTTTCTTTTTCAAAAAAATCAAGCCTTGGGCCCCTTTCTGTGTTAGTAATAGTCACTCCTTCCATGAGCTCTTGTGCATTCAACATCAACAGATTTCCATCCCATTGCTCTTCTTGTTCTCTTTCCTGTTCTCGCTTTTTTTCCCATTTTGTACGAGGCTTTAGAGCCTCACGGTAAGAGATCCCTAGCTGTTGTGTTGGATACATCCCCCCATCTTCTTCTAACATCCAGTCTTCCTCTCTTTGAGCCAGTGAAACTTCCCCAGTAAAACTTCTAGCTGTTCGTTGCATTTTGCCCCTTACCTCCAAGTTCATTCCAGCTTCCTCTTTATTAACCTATCCCAAGGTCTGAAGTAAGGATTGCCTATTTCCATCCATCTCATAAGTGCTTGGTATTATTTCTTGCCCTTCTTCACTCTCCTGAGGAACACCCATAGGGCGATCCGAGGGGAGTTTCCGAAGGTTTTGATCAGACAATTCCATGAAAAACACTCAGAGCGTCTCTCTCTTCAGACATGCAAAATTTTTAGGCTCAGGTTTTGAAGCCTTTTTAACGACTTACTTACAATGTAAGACTTTAAAAAGAATTCATGTTTTAAGCTTTGAAGGCTCTAAATAGGCTTTGAGCCTACTAAAGCCTATATAAATATAGCCTTTTGGTACACTTAGAAGTATGCATATTTTAATATATATGTTAATGAAATAAATTTTAAAAAATCGATCAAATCAAGCCTTCAGGCTTCCCCTCTCCTACCTCTCCTTTAGAGGTGGTAAAATAGGTTGACCCGCTACGGGCTCGAAACCATATGAGCTAGTCCTAAAAGGACTGCTTCTTGGCAGGCTCACATTGGTTGGGTGGGCATCCTTCTTTTTTTTTTTTTAAAATGTTTTTAAACAAATATTTAATTTTTTAAAAATTAAATTATAAATTTTTATAAATCAAATTCTTCTTATTTTTATATTTTTATATAATTAAATTAGTATCAAAAGTTGAAATATAAACATATAATTCACTGTTAACAGTCATTTTATTAGTATAAAAATAGTAAAACAATAAAGAAAATGAGAAATCAAATTTAGAATTAAGGTCTCTAACAAAATATAAAGTTATATGTAAATTAAGTGAAAGTGATAAAACTTTTTCTTATTAAAATTAAAATAAAAATTGTGAAAATTTTTTTTAAAAAAATAAAAAATTGGCTGGCGGGCTAGCTCGTGGTGGGTTATGGGTTGGTAGGTGTGGGCTGAAAAGGACTGCATCAAAATAGTTTCTATTTTCTTCAACCCAACTCGTCATCTTATGGGGGGTTAGCAGGCTCAACCCTTATTACCGGCTCTACTCTCCTTTACCTTAAAACGTGCCATTTCATCTCATGATTTTAGAGCCCATCCTATTGCTCAATCCAAACAACCTCACTTTTTACCTTCTAAGGATCTGTTTGGCAGAGTCCTTTGGGATGAAAAAGCCACGATTTAGAACCCAAAAGCATGTTAATGGGTCAGCTTCTTGTTTGGTTGAGTGGTAGCTTAAGCCAAAAGCTAATTTTAACTTGTAAAAGCTATAAGCTATTTTGAGTTGCTTATAAAGAAAAAATTGCTTTTTAAGCGTGGAGGGGAGAGAAAAAGACCATGAAAAAAGAAGAGAGAGAAGTTCATGGGTCCCACTTACTTTAATTTAAAAAAAAGATAAAACTACTCTACCAAATATATTACTCTGTTTCTATCTATATGTCATTTGTACTTCAAATTAACAAATTAAAAAATACATTAAATTGATAATTTTTTCTTTTCTATTAGTCTTTATTAAGAAAGGGCATTAAAATACGTTTTATATTTTATCTCACCAATTTGCTTTATTTTTCTCTCTGCATTTATTAAGTCAAGAGGGATGAAATTGAAAAAAAAAATTAATTATATTGCAAATGACTTCTTGTAATTAAGAAAAAAATCTTTTTTCTCTACAAGTGACTTATAAATAGAAATAGAATGATAACTTGATGATTGCAAACTGTTCTGAGAAGAAAAATTATATTATGTAAATTAATAATTTTTTTTTTACATTATGTAATAAAAGTTTCACCCATTTTGACAATTTTACAAAATAAATTTGCTTATTCAATCATAATTCAAATGATTTTTATTTTACCCAATCTAATTTTTTAAAAAATTAATTTAAATAAAAATTATATTATCCAATCTAAATTTCATCCTGATCCAATTTTTTTAAAAAATTAAATTAAAAAAGTTATACTTTTCTACCGTGCAATCCAAACGGACACCAAGTTATTTTATACTTTTCCAGCTGCCCTTCTTTCTCCCAAACCACGCCGTTTTTGCTGCGTAAAATAAAATCTCAGCCGTCCATGTTTTTCTAATCGAAGCCGTTGGTTTTGAGGGAAGAACAGTTCCTCTCTCGCGGATTGAGGGGAAGAACATATTCTCTGACATCGGCATCCTTCTCTCTGATGGATGGAATGGGGGGGTTCCTCGTTCGCCGATCGAATTAAAATGCTACTTTTCTTGTGTGACACAGTTCAATAGCTGATTGTTATACAATGGAAGTTTTCTCTCATTGCCAATTGCAAGAGCTTGCCTGGCTTTAGTAACTATTGTGATGATTTTACTGCATCAGCACTAATGCCACAAAATTCATGATGATGGCAGGCAGATATGGCTTGATTTTGGGACAGGTCAACTTTTAAAGCATTATTTCTGATGTTTAAAACTAGGCTACATGTTCGGTCTTTAATATAAAATCTTATTTAATTTTTATTTTGATTCTAAATATAAGTGTCAAATCTATTTTGCTTTTTATAATTTTTTTCTTCAGGATAGTTCTTTTAATAATGATAATTTTAGTCAATAAATTTGATTAGCAAAGATATTTTAAAAAAAATAAAACTTAATTATTACGAATAACTAACGTAATTTATTTCTTTAATTTACTCAACTTAGTTAACTAGTTTTTTTATATTTATGAGTGGAGGTAGTAGTTGTTAGTTATGGATATTTTTCTCCTTGTCTGGTTTAATTTATGATTGCATATCTCTGTGCTTTATGGTTGCAACTGTTATCCGATGCTGGCAGCTCTCGGAAACATGCCTGATTCCTTGAGCATGTCAAACATGAGAGATTATATTAATCCAACATGATGGAAGTTTAGAAGTAGGAGTTGGGATTTAAATTATCCATGGATCCCTTTTTTTCTTGTTTTCCAGATTATCAATATGTGACGTATTGTGACTGATCGTCAAATATATCCTTAGATTATGGGATTCATGAGAGGCTAAGCGTTTCACTCATGAACTTTGAAAGTATAAATGCAAAAACTAAATAAAAATCATGAACTTTGAAGATTATCAAGTTAGATTTCTGGGTATTTGATAAAAGATTGTTATTTTACTCGTCAGTATTTGATATTCAGGGCCACAGATCCTCCCTTTCTGTTCCTTTTCTTCGAAACCTTTTCCCACTAGCTGCTCTCTTTTCCCGCGCCGGTGGAGGAAGAAGAAAGGGGCGATGCGCGGGACAGAGAAGAATGATGGGCTGCCGGGGAAAATTGAGAAATTAATAAGAAATTACAAGGACGGCTGAGATTGAGTGACGGGTTGTAGGGTTCAGTACGGTATCGAAACGACGTCGTTTAAATTAGTTGCCTCCCATCACCGTCTGCAAGTTCTATAACAACGGCCCAGATTTTGTTACTAAACGACGCCGTTTGAAGGAAAATGGGTGAAATCGTAGACGTCTAGGAGAGAAGCCAGGTCCCGAGTCACCGCTCACCAGCCCCTCCCACGGCGCGTCGCTGCTCGTCCCCCATCCGTTCGGTCCGTCCGTCCTCGCCGTCACTAGTCACTCTTCACTCTTCACCTCTACCTTTCCGGCTTCCGCGTTCCGCCTTGCCGCCTTCGACTTCGACGACGGACGACCTGGGCAGCTCGGCCTCCATTTTCATTCTCCACCTCGTCCTCGTCCAGTCGTTCTTCATCTCCAATTCTCCATTGCAGAGTGCAGACCAGCCGAAGCTCTCGGCCTCTCACCCTTTCAGTCTATACCCTTCTCTCTTCACTCTCGTTCCCTTCGGTCAGTTCACATGTAGTCATTCATTTCTTCAACACTCTCCTACTGGTTTTTTTTTGGAAGTTTTATTTGTATTTGACGCCAATTTTAAATTAATATAACCCCATCTTATAAACAGATGACTTGATTCGGAATTTCTGAGTAAGGTACCTGTCAGTCATCACTGAATTTTGTTTCTGTTGGTCTGAGGTTGAAGTGTTGGACATTGTTTAACAGGTAGTTGTACTTGTTCATAGCATTGAATTCACATTGGTCTGTGGCTTTGTGATGGAACATTTAGTTCTTCTGTTGTAGCACTGAATTCTTGTGAACACAATTGGATTCTGAACAAATCGCTGAATTGGAACTTGCTGGTGCTTGTATAACATTGTCCAATTCATTCTGAATTCTTCTCAAGTTCTGTACTTTATTCTAATTTTGCCAGCTAGCTAATGCTCAATCATGTACAGGGGAAAAATATGAAAAATGAGAAAATAAACTGCCAACCTGCCAACCCACACTGGCGGTTTTTGGTTGGCTGAATATTTCAGCCTCCCGCGCCAGACTCGCACCTTTTGGCGGGACAACTCGCTCACGTATTACCAGCTTTCCTTTTCAGTGCAATGTATCAAGTTAATCTCACTTTAGGACCAAAACTCTTTGCCAAACAAAACCTCATCCTTGGATTAGAGATTCAGAAAGAGTGCAAGCACCCACAGCGGGCAAAAGGTCCAGCCACCGCACTCTCACAGTACTCCAGTCGCTGCAACGCAGCCACAACAAGTGAACGGTGGCAGTGAATGGTGATTGAAGGACGAGCAGGGAGAGTAGTAGTAGAAGAAGAGTAGAGCGAAGAAGGTGAAAATAAATTATAAGACAACGCCCAAGTAACCTTGGTTTCAAGTAAGTTCACATTTTCTCTTTTTATGTTATTGTTTGGCCTCTAGACCACTGTCAAGAACAGGATCTGTGTTTGGTTGTTCAATTTAATGTTAAAGTTTGAATATTCAAGCTAGCGTGAATATCATTTTATACCCATAAACTGCTCAGAATATAAGTTGGCTATAACATAGCAGCTAATAACACAATGCTCTGTTTCAAGCTTGAAATGAACGTCATGGCACTGGCGTCCAGTAGTGATGACACAATCTTCATCATCTTTGCTTTCTCCCTGAATGGAAATTCTTAGATCGATCCCTTTAGTACTGTAGAACGCATTGGCTAAAAATTTG